ATGTGTTTTAGGACGCAGATAGCACGGATGACTTTTCCGACATTACGGACTTTATCTTTAAAATAGGATGGATCACCAATAACTTGTTTTGTCCTAGCAACCTATAATTAAAGCACCAAATTTTAGGATGTAAGCTTACAAATGGGCTATTAAGTACGCAATCACAAATTCACTTAAGCATGTTTACCTCGTCACCCGAACGTACACCACAAACACGGCCATCCGCATCATAGACGATTTCATCGACCGCTTTATCGAGCATATAAGTACCACCATAAATAGCACTCAGCCTGTGAAAACAAGAGTGAATAGAAGGTATAGTCAGATAAAAATTTATAATTTATAATCGGAGATATATAAAGAAAATCGTACCGTGCAAATCCTTGAGGCAATTCACCCAAACCGTACAATGGGTAAATGTAAGGGCTCTTTCCATAACGAGCCACAGAGGAAATATAAAGAATGATTCTGTCATAACTCTCACGGGCAGGTCGGTTAAGGTATCTAAACGTGTAAATATGGTTAATACCAAGTAATAAGGTGATGGAGATAGAAGAATCTCAAATTTAACATACGAGTCATCTAAGTATAAGGCCATAGCATGGCCAATAAAATCTTGGGTTCCAGGTTCAAGACCAAATTTTTCATAGACTTTACACATTGGTACAGAATTTAGATCGATGCCTTTAAGAAAATACAAATTATATTAGTTCATATTTCATTATTGAATACTTATATCGATAGTTGACGATATGATTTATAAAAGTAATTATTACTTTGGTGAGTAGATGGATCATCCTCACGCCAGTTTTGCATATACTCGAAGAATTTCTTTGCTCTTCTCTTTTCAAACATTCCCATCAAATCACTGCGAAGAGCTTCCACTTCACTAGCAGGAACTTTAGAGATTTGTCCATCACGATATACATAAGAGCCAGAAATTTGTTTGAATTCGAGGTAACGTGTAACATCGGTATGGGTAAGAATTCTGACAAGTTCTCCATTGGCCATCATAAATTTGGGAATGAGATCGATGTTATAATCGCGATCACGTCCCAATTCACTAGGTGGTTCTTGCCCATTACGGAATTTTCGATAAAGCTATATAAAACGGATTGAATGGAGCAAAACTGAAGTTTAATCGTCCAAAAATAATATTTAAAAAAAAAAAAAAAGGCCAATTCCTTTTAACGTGTATATCAATAAAGAAAAGATTTGACATAATTTATGGTAAAAAATCATCATTGTAAATATACTATATATATTATCATCACTACATTTTAATGGTAATAAGGTCAAATCATAAAGTTCTGAATATTTCTCGATAAAATTTATCAAACAGATGTCATGTGAGTTGAAGACTTTATTGTTAATTTTTACCTGTGTCAAGTTTAAACTGGCACTATCACCACCATAATAGTCGTTCCTATCCATATGAAGGACCTTTTTTCCTTCAACAGATAGTAAACCAGAGAGAATACATTCAGTTAAGCCAGTTCCGAGAACGATAACATCGTATTGTTCATCCTGCAAGCCAAAAATAATAAAGTTTAATACCAATCACAGGGTTGAAATTGGAGTTAAACAAAACTAAGAAGTTCATAATACGAACAGGTCATTCACTAAACATACCATAGTACTATATTAACAAAAAAAAATAAAAATAAAAATAAAAATAAAAGAAAAAAAAAAGGCTAGTATATGGAAATTAGAAAGTGTAAAGATCAAAAAACGGCGGTTAAAATTTGACAATTTATAAACATTAATGGATCAACAAACTTATATCTCGGAGATTGGTTGTGTCACGCACAACACTGTCGGGGACACCAATGTAACTTTATCAAGATAAAATTGATCTTTAGACATGCAGGGAACACTTGGTTAATTTTATCCGGCCTACTAAATCTGGCCGAATGTAAATTTATTAGAAATTATGGTTGTGCTTTTAAACTAATTTGA